TATAATAATACCCCAACAGCATGGCTTTCAAAGGGGAAGGAGCACAGCGTCAAACTTGTTGGTCTACCAAGATGATATATTGGGTGCCTTTGAGAGGAAGTACCAGGTGGACAGTATCTATACTGACTTCTCACAGGCATTCGATAAAGTAAATAATCGTTATTTAATCAGTAAATTAGGAGCCATTGGTAGCACAGTCTTCCATATATTACTTTAAAATCTATCAGCGTTTTCCTTAGTGTACGGCCAATTATGAAAGCTGTTCTATTAAAATGCTTTTTTGTACCTATAGAATTAAACATTGTGCATTTGTTTTTGACTATTACCCTTTCCTCTGTCATTCATGGAGTCTTAAAACGAGGGTAAAAATTGACCTTCTAACACAATTAATATCTGGTATCACTGCCACCCTGATGTATCGATTAGAAAGTACCATGTGTCTGCTCTTTATCCTTTTGTCGAAGATGATTCCGATTCGACCATAACACCTCTTCATGAATTACGTAGTAGAGTTCGACCTTTAACCACGTTATAAAAAGATCTCGCAGATAAAACAAAAGGCGCTATCCCTAAACGACATCCTTGACGTCCTAAGCGTTGACTAAAAGTCAACGCAGAAATCTACTATTTCTGGTGTATCTTTAAACATACAGCGACCCCAGAAGTACTTGTTTGCATACAAAGAGTGATTGTTCCATCCATATGGACATAAAAGTTTGTTGTAACCTATTTTTAAGAAGTTATTGTTCTTTTCGGTAATTATTCCGCTCATAGTTATGTACATTTTATTATTTCAATCTATGGTTGCTACTGTTAGTTAAAGTACCAAATACGAAGAAACACGGAAAAAATGTTATCCCTGTCGTGGAGCTTACACCCTATCATCATCATCATCAGTTGACGCTACAGCCCTTCACCTGCCTTGACCTGCTTCAAAACATTCTTCCATCCTTCCCTATCGAGTGTATGTCTTCTCCAGCCCCTCACTCCAATCTCCCTCAGATCTTCCTGTACATCGTCCAGATATCTTAGTTTAGGTCGCCCCCTTCTTCTTCTTCCGACCGGCCTATTTAGCATAGTTATTTTAGTGGGATCACTCTCATCCATCCGCATAACGTGGCCCACCCACCTTAGGCGGTTTATCTTGATGGTCTTCACAATATCTGCATCACCAAAAAGTCTATAGAGTTCAAAGTTATATCGCCTTCTCCACAGACCCTGTTCGTTTACTCCGCCAAATATGGTCCTCAATACTTTTCTTTCAAAGACTCGTAGTAACTCTTCATCTCGGGTCGTCATTGTCCATGTTTCCGATCCGTATGTGAGCACTGGGCGTATTATTGTTTTATAAAGTTTGCACTTTGTTGCTATTGACATACTTCTCGCTCTTACTTGAGGGCCCAGGCCGAAATAACAGCGGTTAGCCACGCATATTCTTTTTTTTTATCTCGTTGGATGTGGTATTTTTGTAGTCTACCAGTGATCCTAAGTAGCAGAATTCTTCTACCATTTCTATCGTTTCGTGTTGCACCTCAAGTTATTTTGTTGAATTCTTGATATGGCCTGCATATATTTAGTTTTCTGGATGTTAATCAGAAGTCCGATGTTTTCTGCGGCATTTTTGATACGTGTGAAAGCCTCCACTGCTTCATTTTGGGTTCTACCAATTATGACGATATCATCAGCGTATGCCATTATTTGTATACTACGGGTATATATCGTACCTTTTATTTAAGTTTATTCCCGAATCTCTCATAACTTTTTCTAACGCTAAGTTGAACAGCGTGCACGATCTGTTGGTTTTAAATGGTTTTGAAACATCCCCTTGTACGCGCACTTTACATTCGACTTTCATCATTGTCATTTTAATTAATTCTACCAAACCTTTTGGTATTCCTAATTCGATCATCGCCGAATATAATTGGGACCTGTCAATAGTATCGTACGCTGCCTTAAAGTCTACGAAGATGTAATGGCAGTCTATGTCGTACTCCATCGTTTTTTCTAATATTTGTCTGATAGATGATATGTGATCAATGGTAGATTTGTTTTTCAAGAAGCCTCTTTGATAGGATCCTATTATTTGTCAGTATACCGTGCCAGTCGTTCGTTAAGTATCAGGGACACAATTTTGTATGCTGTATTAAGAAGGGAAATTCCTCTAAAGTTGGAGCATTCAATAACGTTTCCTTTTTTGTGTATGGGGTATATAATTACAGTATTCCAATCTTCTGGTAACGCGCGTTCTTGCCATACCTGTATTAGTAGTTTGTGAAGGAGGGTAATGTTTGACTGCCACATTTAAATATTTCTGCTGGTAGGTTGTCTGCTCCGGGTGACTTGTTTCTGGCTAGAGACTGAATTGCTTAGTTTATTTCTTCCAAAGTTGGTAGTTCAGTATCCTCGTGTTCTATTTCTATATCATATCTACCTTCAGCTCTACTTTCTCCATTAAGTAGCGTACTAAAATGTTCCTGCCATCTTTCTAGTACTTCCACTCTCTCGTTTAAAAGAATTCCGTTAAGGGCCTTGACTTACTTCGCTTGTGGTTTGAAAACTTTTCTTTTTGTGTTAACCTGTTTGTAAAATTTTCTGTATTCGTGTTCTCTATTAAGGTTTTCCATTTCTTCGAACTCTTTATTGATTTGTTGCCGCTTTTTCTGTTTGTGTTTTTGTTTTTCCTCTCGTCTCTTTACTCGATATTCTTCAACATTGCTCCTAGTCCTTCTGTTGATCATTTTCATATACGCGTCGTTCTTCTCTTTCGTTACTCGTTGGCATTCCTCATCAAACCAGTTGTTTCGCTGTCCTTTGGGTACTTCACCTAGAACTTCCTCTGCGGTCTCTTTGAGCGTGGTTTTCATAAACTCCCAATTTGTGTTAAGTTCAGTGGGATATACCTCACTTCTGGGATATTCTGATATTTTGCGATCTAAGCATATTTGGAAGTTTCTTACGACTTCAGTACACTTTAATTTATCAACATTATATTTGATTATTTTTGGTTTAGTGCTTACACCCTATAACCTTGCATTTATTGACTTTTTCTTCTTAAGTGCTTCTTTATAGGACCTAAAGTACTCTGTTTTAATCTTATAAAAAATTATTAATAAGGTCCACAAGCCTGATTCGTATATTCCCATTAAACCTTTTAGGAATAGTATTCTTTGTTAACGGTATGAAAATTGATTTGAGCCATACCTATAAAAAAAGATGGAACACGTCTTAATTTCACACTTTGCTTATAACTGCACGAACTTTGCCTTTTTTTATTCCTAATATTATTATTTTCCTATGGTTCTGAATTATTTTCTAACCAAACGTTTTACACTGAATATTTCATTATATTAGGAATTTTTTAATTGTAATCATTGTCGTTTATTACCAAAAAATACAAATATTGATCTCCTTGCAGTGAACACTTTGATAGGCCAGTGAACAGTTGCTCAGATATTCTCTTTACTCTCGCCACTGCATCGCTTTTTTATAACATATCTAGGTGATGATGTCCTAGAACATATCTAGGTTTTTAATTGACAATTTCCTATGTTCCATTACTCTACATTCATTAAATTAAATAAGATATTCAATATTAGAAACTCGCATCACAGTACATCAGCGTTTCTCAACCTTTTACCAGTTGCGACCCAATTTTATATAATTCTTTTCACCGCACCCCCCTCTTACAATAAAAATATGTGAATCCAGGACCGATTTTCAGAGGGGGGGTGGTGGTACCCCCCTCTGAAGTTGCTCTGGTTTTCAGTGCATTTTTTTAAGATGTACACCTTATAAACGGAAATAGTAAAAAGACGAATAAACAGACAAAAGTGCTGCTCAGACAAAGACGGCCGCGCATAAGCTCTTCATTATACATTTATAACCTTAAAATATATGTCTCGCCTATTTTGAGGTACGATTAAAGTAGGATTCTGCGTAATTTTATAGAAATACCTTAAAACGTTATTAGTTCTCAGGCGCTTTTTACTTTATCGATGTCTCTTTATCATGATGCTCGCCAAAAATACGATCTAATTGACTAAACAAAATTAAAAATAATTACTTACCTTTCGAAAGTGTTTTGTAGCCGATATGTCTTCTGTTACAACTTTATAATAGGCAATGTATTTAGTAAGTCTCACAGTTTATCACCGCGATAAAACAAATTTGTTGAAACAACGATTACTACAATTCACACAAGTTAGTTTATAAACAACCGATAACCGGTTGCTCGTATGTTCTTACCACCACGAACTCATTACACAGAAACTACACAATATAACAACATAATTAATTTGGACGGCATCTAAATGCGCACTGTGCTTATACTTAGCAAAAATCTTAAAGCAAAAACGGCGCATCTTTGAGAACCGTCATAATCGCTAGGGAATTTAATATACGTCGAATCGGCGTAGGATTTTGTATTCTTTTTTAAGATGCGTCTAATTTTATTACCAATTTTTAGGCACTATGGAGTTAAAATGCGTCTTTTTCGCTTAGAAAATAGGTTCAACTTCATATTTAAGGTCCTTAAGAACAATAATATAAAAATCGAAAAATTCCGAGATACGATCTTTTGGCTTAGGACGGCAGTATAGACATATGTACAATAAATAACAGGAAGAGACCTACTGTTGTCTTTGAACATTTTTTTTATATTGATTGAGCGAATATTCAATTCTTTAATTTTCCTCTTTATTTCTTCTGGTACTTCCTTTATAGCGGTGCTTTTATGTCTGGCTTGTATGATTGGTTTCTTCGTTGTCCACTAATGATGTACCACCGTCTTCCAACACTTCTGCTATCTTCTATTTCTCGTCGTTAGTAGCGACAGTCATATTCAATGTCTGTCATTTTCTTCAATGTCTTTTGGTTCATGATCATTTGGTCCAGTACGACTTCCGTGCCTACGCCTGTGCGTAGAAAGCTCGGGCTAAGTCAGTCGAGATATTTAACTTTTAAAAATGAACTAATTAAAAAGGTCAATAATAATTCCAATAAGATGATTGAAGTTTTATTATCTCGTCACAAAATAATAACATTATATAATATAACAGTATTTTTCATAAATGTCATGTACAGTTATATAATAATTCAACAAATTTTTCTAATAATTACTCAAAAACCTGAAAATACTGATTTTACTTTAAAAGTGTTCATTTGAATTGGCTATGCAGATACTTAGATCTCCAGCATATACTAATAATAATAATACATGTTGACAAAATATATGAATAGATAAATAAAGAAAACACCTGTTAAAAATCTTATAGACAGATGAAATTATATTTTTAGTGAATTAATAGACTAAATTGATTTTATTTTTATTAATTTATTCATGGGAAAACATTCAATAAAAGCTGCCAAATTGTTATCAAAAAATTATAAAATGAGCATTTCGACACAATATATTATTAATTTTAAAAAAAGTTTTGATATGTTTTTAAATGTTACAATTATTAGTATTGCAAAGACAGTCAATTCAAATATGGTATGTACAACTTTACAACTTCAACGTGGGAATAAAGTTTCCTTACCATTTCGAAAAATACTTATAGCATGCTAAGACAATTTAAAAATTCCGGATCGTGATGTCATAATATTAGAACAATCCTAAAATAATATTAATGGCACAAAAAAGGTGTAAATTAACATTCAAAGACAACATGTACCGTAGATTATAAATATTTTTATAAAAGCGAAATTTAAACGGACAGAAATGATTTATAGTTTATCAATCAAAATGATTCATCAGAAATTTTAACTGGTTCATATTTATGGTTTATATATACATTCCAAAGTATCAATATAAGTGGGAAGGGAATTTGATACACGTTATCGAATAGTTTGTTTTGAATATTTTATGCTTTGCTAAGTATCCTCTTTATACGAGGTTACTGACACCACATCACCTCCCACGTTGATAAGGCATTGGCCCTAAAAAAAAAAAAATAAAGATATAGCAAAAAATATATACAGATCACGACATTGTTTTATTGACCATACAACACAATGGCAATCACTGTGACATGTTACACGTTTCCACCTCTATATTCATTTCACAGTAGGTACGAATTGTCGTAATTGTCACATTTACATTAAAAATTTCAAACGAAGTTTACGAGCGTCAAAACAAGGATATTGATATTTGTGCTTTTGTGAAAACTAGTGAACCCTGCAATAGTGTACAAATTGCTAGAGAAGTTGAATGTGAATGCTCGAACTGTGCAGCGAGTTCTCAAAAGGAATGGGTATGACTGTTTTAAGATACAACCAACACAAGAACTGTTTCCGAAAGATAACTTTAGGCGGATGGAGTTTTGTGAATGTACTTACTTTACTTTTTCGAGTCTGGATCCGACTACAGTTTTTCTGCCCAATATCGGGCTACGTCTACAGCCTTTGTATTTGCGAGCCATAAATCATCGAGGGTGCACTGTGATGGGCAAAGTCTGCATGCTCTCAGGTGCTCCACGTTCTGTATTTCCCCACATTCACAGAGTGCCTCGCTATCCTATTTCCCTGTTGAGAAACATAAGGCCTCAGCTGTTGACTTCAAGACCTGGGAGTTTGCACCCCACTTGCTCCCTACAAGTTTCCGGAGAAGGTGGTTTCTCGTAGAGACCTTTTGTCTTGTGCTCTGACAGTGGAATTTATACGTAAGTGACAGGTCTAGTATCATTCCAAGATATTTGGGCCTATCAGTATGTTTCAAGCGTTGTCCCTCCCAAGAAACATTCAGTTTTACATGCGCCAGTTGGTTGTTGAGATGGAATGCAAATACTTGGGTTTTAGTAGGGTTTGGCTTTAATGAGTTTTGTTTGTAGTGAGTTGACATCACGTTTAAAGCATCTTCCATTGTCGACTCTACTTGTGTGAGTGTTTTCCCCTTTACGGCTATACCAAGGTCGTCAGCGTAAACAAAACTCTCAGTCTGAGGGTGCATTGGTTGGTCGTTGGTGTAGATGTTAAATAAGGACGGCGCCAGAACGCTTCCTTGAGGTAGGCTATTTTTTTGGGTTCTCCATCTACTCTTCTTTCCATTTAGCACAACGTAGAAACGTCTATTACACACCAGTGATCTAATGATTAATGATAGTCAAGCACAGTGTTATAGATCTTAGTTAGCAAGGTTTTGTGGTTTATCGTATCATAGGCCGCTGTGAGGTCTATCAAGGCTACTCCTACTATCTCTTTCTACTCAAATCCCTCCTCTATGTATTCTGTTAGGTTCAGCACTTGGCCTGTGCATGATTTACCTGGTCTAGAGCCTGCTTGTTGTGGGATTAGTTTTGCATCTAATGTTTCCTGGATGCGGTTTAAAATGAGGCGTTCATACAATTTATACAAATGGCATAGCAGAGATATCGGACGGTAGCTACTCGGTAGTTCAAAGTCTTTGCCAGGTTTCAGAAGGGCTATTACTTTTGATTTGCGCAACAGTTTTGGAATCTGGTAGGTAGAGCGACATATGTTAAATAGATCGAGCACCCATTGTCTCGCTTTTTGCCCGAGATGTTTTATCTGCTCTGTTAGGATTTCATCCACTCCAGGTGATTTTCCATTTTTCATACAGTCAATACCATTTTTGAGCTCTTCGATGGTAAATAGGTTTCGTAAGAGAGTTGTTTCCTGGTCTTGAGTTCTTATAATATTTGGCGTTTTGCAACGATTGTTTGTTTTGTCATTCAGAAGCAGTTGGTGGGCTATCTGATTTGGCGTTATTGCACATAGCTCTTTCATCTCTGTGGGATCACCATTAAGTTTTTTGATCATATTCCAAGCCTGCTTACTACTGTGCGTCATATCCATTTAACTTAAAGTCTCGCTCCACCGTTGTTGTCTGGAGGCACTTAGTATTTGCTGCAGTCTCTCCCCTATCTCTGCCGTAACTTCGGTAAATGGGTCTTTACTATATTATTCGGTGTACTTTGTCATAATGTCTTTTGCTTCATCGTTCAGACCAGATATGTAATGTTGTTGACATCCTCTAGGTATGTGTTTATATGAGATTCGTTTTATAAGTTTGATGAACGCATCATAGTTTTTGGGGATCAGGACTATATTTTTCACTTGTGTTTCCAATTCATCAGTAAATTTTTCCCAGTTCGCTTTTTTGAAATTAAACCTTCGTTTGAAAGGGATTTTGGGAGCTTTTATAGCGCTGTATACGGTTATTCCCACGGGCCTATGTTGCGTCTTCGGTATAGGCTTATATACCTTCCTAACGCAACGGTCCGCTAAAGACATGCTGATGAAGGTGAGATCAGGGTTGTAACCTTTCTTCCATATTTTGCTTTGGAACGAATAGGGCAGTTTTGGGTCATGTAGAACTGCCAGGATGTTTTGTTCAGCCCACGATTCCACAAGATCTCCATTTTTATCAGTTGAAGCGTAGCCCCAATGAACATTATGACTATTAAAATCACCGAGAATGAATCTGGTTTTTTGAGAAGCGAAATTTTTTGGAGGGGAGAAAACAAAGTCTCTCCAGGGTGGTTTATACACAGATGTCACTGTGCAGGCTCCTATTTCGACGGTCAGGATTTCAATGTCGTTGTAGCATGTTTTTTCAGCTGATGTTACATCAATATCTCTTCTCACGAAGATGGCGCTTCCATGTTTTGCACTTGGATGTTCAATGATAAGCTGCATTCCCTCAACGCTAGGTCTATGTGTTTGTGAATGTATGTTAGATAAACAGAATGAAAATGTACACTTATCTGTATGACAGATTTGGTTACTGTTTAGCACAAGGAGGTGGAATATTTTGAGCCCTTAATTCTATTAATCTGCTTTCCTAATTTTTATTTTTTGTTAAGTACATTTTACGAAGTTTGTAGGTTCTTAATTAGGTAGTATTTTTTATGTTTAAGTTTGGAAGAAATTTATTGTTTTTTTTTTATTTAAAAGTAAAAACGATTCTTATTCTGATTTGTACAATTTTCAGTGAAAATAAAGCATATTACTTATTTACTTACTTATTTATTTGTATTGCTATTAAGGCTAAAAAATAACTAAAAAATTAGTTTTAGAGAATTATAATAAATATACTCTAGACATGGGATTGCAATAAATCTTAATTTCTATGATCAACAAAACAATGTCGTTATCTGTATAACATATACAATTGTCATGATAAAACATCTGAAGGAAATATACAGGAATAATGAAATAAACGCTTATCCGTTATTTATTTTGTATTTATTAACCTTTAATCCCTTATGATAAGACTTCACAGGATTTGTGGTAAACTCTGCATAAGACGAGAGTTTCCCGAAAATATGTGAAAGATATGTATGATGAGGTGGCAGTTAGAATCGTTACAATTGGGATGAGCTGGAGATTTCCTAACTTCCTTAAATCTTCATCCCCTGCTATCTTGTCTTCTGGATCTTTCTTTTTGTTCTAAGGACCGTCGTTTCTATTCTTAATGCGATGTTCGACACCCTAGTATAATAAATTCTTTCTAAATGGGCTAAATTTCTTATTCTATAGGAATTTGAACCATTATCGAGTGACTGGTTTTACATTTTCATTATTTAGTTATTTATTCTTATTCACTCCACGACCTTCAGTCATCTTTGATAACTCCATATATCCTTCGTAGTATTTCAAATTGCCAATAGCCATTTTCTACACGATATTTTTTCATTAATAATATTTATATTGTGAAATATTGCCAGGCAATTTACTTATTGTAATTATATTAGAGATTGACTGTAGAGATTGGGATGTTAAAGAAATTTATTTCAATCTCATTCTCTGAATCTGTTCAGTGTCCACATTGCGTATCAATAGTGATTTTACCTCCACATATCCCCAATACAAAAATATCACTAGAAAGACCCTCGAAGAGGTATGACAGCTGGACATCAACATTCCAAGAGCTGGGATGATAGAATAAAAAGGATCACGTCCTACAAGACGAAAAAGAGGAAGAAGAAGAAGAACAAGAATTTACACACCTCCACCACAAAGTCGCCCATTAGAATTTTCATTTCATGCTTATTTGCCATATTGATAAGCCGTTCTAACAGTGCATACAATTCCTCATAGAACGTATATTTGTATTATGTTCAGATTCATTTGGCGCCAATGTAGCAGAAGGAGCATCATTCTCTCCAAGAAAAGTATGAAGGGCTATTGAGGCTCTTGCGACTATTATTCCGATTCCATTTTTGTGTTGAGGACTGTTATTACCCGAATAGTAAACATTAGTTTATTACTCTATAATTAAAAAAATAAAATAACTGATATAATTATGGCATGCATGCATTAAGTAGAAGAAAGCCTTTCGTATTGAATTACTATAATAAAATGAATGAAATAATGTACTCAATTTCTTAATTTTAGTGTCACTGAATGAATTAACACACATTATAATGAATTTAAAAAACTTACCTGGTTTTTATGGAAGTTGTGATTAAGAAACAATTCTGTCAAGAAGAATGCTACTAAAGCATTTCCACCAAGTGCTGTAACATGTGCCCTAACAATGGCTAAAACTTCCGTTACAAAACTATGAAGAAACCCGCTAAGACCTCCTTCCTACAAAAGAAAAAAAAACAGTTAACAATCCACTGAAACAAGTATTATAAGTTATTATACTATATTAGTGTCAACCATACATGTCATAATCGATTTTTTTAAAGTAACTTTATCAGCTTCATTCTAGACCTGTTTCATTTTTAACACTATTATTGGTGCTTCATGGCTCGTTGAGCCCCGATTTTTCTAACCCTATTTTTCCATTAGGTCCTATTCTTGCATTTGTGGTGCCAGTTTGCCAGACCGATTTTCCGAGAATCCTTATCCAAACAATTGGTCCATATCAGAGCCATATATTAGGACTGGAATATAAAGTTTCTGGATACCATTACCTTTGTTTTCTTGTTAGATAACGGCTTCATGGTAGCTATCATATGCTGCTTTGAATTCTAAGAACAAGTGGAGGTGGAGGAACATATGTCGATATCAAATCTAGTAGGGTTTTCAAGAATCTGTCTGAAAAGTCTGAAACGACTTTGATATTTGTCCAGAATTTCTTCAGTATGGGTTCATCCGTGTGTAAATCTGTGCGTCTTTTAAAATATGGATAATATTAAAAAGTCTAGAGTCACAACGTGATGTTGATACTACACTCTCTGATCAGTGTGGCCAGCTTATTCATTTCCTCATGCCTACTAGTGGCAATGATCCAGCACTTGTTAGATCTGTTTTTAGACCAATTACACAAAAGGGCAAATGCTCTTTTTTGTCAGATGTCGAAGCTTGAAATGGTAGTTTCTAATACGCTCTGACTTGACTAATGAAGATAAATTCTTTGCATTTCATAATGGATTAAGTGAGGCTTTCTTATACTCTTTTCCTGAAAAACCTATAAGAAACTTAGAGATTAAAGTAGACTAATAAATTGGTTCAATGTTGATTTAAAGTCCATGAGAGAAACTCTGCCCTTGATAAAGGAGCAATATGATAAGTTTCCTACCTTGGCTCAGAAAAACTTATTAACAAATCACAAAAAACATTACAAATTAGCAATAAAGTCTGCTAAAAAAAGGCCAATGATAACCTTATTGCAACAGTATCTAATCCAATTAAGTGTATGTGGGATATTATCAATGTGCACCGAAATAAGGTTAAGAGCAAATTGGAAACCTAACCAATTTAATGATTTCTTTAGTAATGTTGCTACTCTGATTGAAATCAGAAATATTTTAACCAATAGGGTGAACAAGAAAAGTAGGGACTACTTCGGATTCTCTGTTAATATAATAAAAGGAGTGAAACATTTCATTGCTAGTCCCCTAATAACACGTATAAATCAATGTTCTCAAGAAAGCATCTTTCCTGATCTCCTCAAAAAAAGTGGTGATACCAGTATATAAGAAGGGCGACAATGATGACCAATCCAATTATAGGCCAATATTACTCATTTCTATAATATCAAAGGTATTTGAGAAATGTATGGCAGCAGTGACTGTTAAGTATATTGAATCCAAAAATTTGTTTAGAAATAGTCAGTTTGGTTCTAGAAGGGGTCTAAATACCACAAAGGCCATCATACTATTGTTTGACGTATGTAAGTACTTTATTGTATATTAAAATGAATAAACAACTTAAACTTGAACCCAAGAAAGTAATTGTTACAACAATCTTTTTTTTTTTCAAGAGCTTTGATGGCACTAGGAAGAAATAGATCAAGAACTTTGGAAAGCAAAAAATTAACTGGCCATTACGCTTGATAAACTATTGCTTAACAAGTCTCCACTTTCACAGAATACCTAAGTTAAGGCGTAAATCCAGATTAGTAGCATTGTTGAAGTTAGGCCAAACGAATACAAAAACTTCCGACTAATTTTCTTACTGTTCCATCTTTTTTTAAACTTTTATGTAATATATATAAAGCTTTTTAATAAATTATACTCAATCGAATCTGGCATCATTAATGAGAAATTGATACTTGAACAAGCTGATAAATCTTGTACAGAAAGAACGAAAGAAAATTACTGGCGTCGCTTACGTTTGCTTAACTGCTGCTTATGTCACTGTTAACCACCAAAGATTGCTAGTAGAAGTGTACAATATGAGCAAAGATTTTTGATTCATGTGCTTGTTATTGATTAATCAAAATCTTAAGTTCTACTCCCTCAAGAGAGTATATTGACACCTGTCATTTATAGCATCTATACAAACGAGCTCACAGAGAAATACAGAACACAAGCACCCATTGGTTTGTATGTACTTTGAAGCATGAACAATGCACTCTCCTTAGCAACTAATGAAAAGGCCACCCAAGTGGCGGAGTATTGGCAGTATACGATTGATAAAAGCGATCAGGGCACGGAAAGTAAGAAAGCACAGATATTCAATTATGTTTGTCCGGATAATCTGAGTGTAGTTCGTTAAAAAAAAAACAGGTGATGTCAAAACATTGAACTCACCTCTCTAATTGATGTCGTTTCTCTAATAAAGAAGAAATTAATATTTCCTAAATATTTATCAACACTGGCTCCTGGTACGTAGGATAAAGGCGTTATATCAACACCATGAATTTCCTTTTGTGGCGTCTGAAAATAAAAAAATAGTATATTATGCCTGGTTTTTTTCTACCAAAAAATTAGAAACAGATACATACGTGTCTTTGCTTCAGGGACGATTTGTATTTCGATGAAGATCGTAGTTTATTGACTTTATTTATTTTATTTCCTGGCACGGTATTATTCTCCGTAATACTGTCTTCTTCTAATTTAAAAATCATGTCCTCTTCTGAAACATAATACATATTGTAACGAAAGTTCCGTGAGATTTGTTTCAGATAGAAAAAGTCCCTTGACGAAAAAGAAAAAGTAATGTACAGAATTATTGAGATGTCATCGAAGAATTTTGAAATTTGTGGAACGTCAGAAAATACATATATAAAAACATGTTATTGACAGTTTGGAAAAGTAGTATTTGAGTTTTTGTAGTTTATAGCTGTCCTTATAAAAAAATTTTCCTACCTTCTTTCCTTGGAATTACAGATTTGAAACCCTTAGCTTTTTTACCTAATCCGAGTGCCATACCTAAAAATGAATGGACATACCAAATTAAAAAAAAATCTTGAGTTATTACAATATATTAATAAAGTACAATGCCTTGAGGATGTTCTTTTATATGGATATAATTTTAAATTAAAAATTAAAATCCACATTTTCTTGTCAGAATATACTTAATACAATCTTTAACTAGTATTGAACAAAATCTCATTTTAAACTTATATTTTGAAAACGATTTCCAAGCTGGAAGTTGAAAAGTCTTTGGAGTATTTCCAAACTTTTAATTAAAATTGTGGAATATTTCCATTAGAGTTAATAACATAGAAATGACAGAGAGTTGCAACTCTCTTTGATTTCATGAAGAGAAGGATTGATGTACTTTTATAAGTCGAGATTTCTTCGTCTGGATGCTCGTTAATATATATATAGTAGTTCGAACAGTCACGGCAGAAATGGAGTAGGTATTATTTTAAACAAGCACGTATTTAAAACGAAAAAGCAACATTTTCTAAGGGTAACCAGAAGTGATACAATGTCTAACTGAATATAGTTCGCCAAATATAGCTTTGTATGAACGTTCTCACTTCATTGTTAGCGCAGGAAATGGGAATTTCACACTTTCAGCTATATTTGGTGAACTGTACAGGCAATATCAACGTGAACACATGCGCATATGCCCTACAGGTAGGATGTGAAGAACAGGAAAAGGAAGAATTTTGGAGAACCCTTAATTACGAGACGTGCCAAATTCCTGTAGACGAAAAGTGTTTTATTGGAAACGATTTGAATAAACATATTGGTAGAGAAAAAGCGGGAATAGAAAGAGTTCATGAAATTTTTGGGAAGAGGAATAAGAAATGATGAAGGAAATAGTGTGATAGACTTTGCAGTGGTATGGTATTTGGCTGTCATTAATCCGTTATTTATGAAGAGTGAAGACCAGTAAGCTATTAGAGGTTACCAATTGTTAAGTGGTAAAGGGTGAGTAAAGAGTGTGGTTAGAACTGCGTTGGGAATGACACAAGAAAATAAGTTGCAGAAAGATATATTTTGAGGGTGATTATTATCCATATTTGGTCACTTTGTAAGTACCTTGTAATATTAATTAAATTATATTTACCAAATACTAAAAGTTGCACCTCATCTGGCTCGGGAATATCACATCGAAATTGAATGTTACATAAAGCGCAAGGTACCATTCTTCTTAATTTAAAATAAACGCTTTGAAGTAATTTACTAAAATATTCATCTATGTTAAGATTAGACTGGAATTTAAACCTCCGACACTGAATGAACATTTGTAAATTTTTAACTATCTCTAAATCGTCGAGCCCAGGGATGGTCTCAGTATTTACAACATGAAAGCCATCAGGAGGACGTTCTTTCATTAATGAGCAAAGTACTTCTTCATCTTTAGGATCATCAACCTGCAATAAATATATTTGGCGTAATATATAACTATGTAAGTCAACGTCTTACCTCTAAAACACAGCAATCTTTACTACCAGATGACAGATCTAAGGAAGTTGGCTCTTCGTCCGAATCATCATCTGACCAAGCACGAGATCCTTCAATTCCATCCTAGAAAATTTGTTTTTCAAAATACAATTTAGTAGACTTAAACTACTTATTTCAGATTGTAAATATGAATTAGATAATTATAAAAAATACACAAAAAATAATCAGATACTATTGATCTGATAATAGTTTTGTAGACCCTCATTTTCGATCTCCAGTGTGTATTTTTGTGAAATATGTGAAACTTTCTACAGTTTCAATTCATAAAGGTTTAGGGTTGGGTCGGTACGAAAGTTCATCATCATCTTTGGCTCGACAATCCTCTGTGGATCTTGGCCTGCTCTAAGATTCGTCGCCATTCTGTTCGGTTTTTGGCAACATGTTGCCATCTTCTGATTTTTAATATTCGTAAGTCGGTTTCAACTCCATCTAGCCACCTAATTCGCGGTCGGCCTTTGCTTCTTTTTCCTACAGGTGTTTCTGTGGTTAGCTTTTTAGCAATCGTATTTTCTGGCATTCGTATTATGTGTCCAGCCCATCTAAGTCGCTGTGTTTTAATGAACGTTATGACATCTGGCTCATCAAAGAGCTGATACAATTCAAAATTATATCTTCTGCGCCACTGCCCTTGGTCGTTTCCGGCTCCAAATATTTTGCGGAGTATTTTACGCTCAAATATTCCCAAAAGTGTTTCGTCTTTCTGCGTTAGAGTCCATGTTTCTCCTCCATATGTGAGGACCGGCCTCAGCAATGTTTTGTATATAATAAATTTAGTTCTTCTTTGAATGTTTCTTTTTCATTATCCTCCTTTTCTTCCGTAGGTGCGTGTACACTAAGTAAGCTATAATTAAAGAATTGTCCTTTAAGACGTAGATAACATATTCTGTTGTTTATGGGTTTAAAGTTAAGGACTAATTGCATTGCTTTTTTACTGACTAGAAAACCACTGCCAAACTCGTGTCGGCTGCTATGTCCGCTATAGTATATATTGTAGTCTCTTTTCTCGATGATTCCTGAACCAGTCCATCTCATCTCTTGAAGCGCTACTACATAGGCTTTCATTTTATCAAGTTTTTGTGTTAGCAGTCTAAGAGCACCTGGGGCATAAAGGGTTCGTACATTCCATGTGCATATCCGTAAATCGTTATTCCATTGCCGTTTGCTAGGTTGTCGTGAATTAAACAGTCCGGCTTTTCCACTTTGTGCTTTCATAACAATGAGTTTTTTTAAGGGAAGAGGTCGTTAACCTTTTGCCCAACCCCCTAATCTTCGAAGGACCATTTCTCCCACTCTCGTTTGCCCTGACTCTGCTTCCCATTGGTGTCGGTTACCACAATCTTCCACAGAGTTGCTCAGGTTACTAGGGTTCACCGCGTGGAGTTAAGAGTTGGAATTGACTAGGAGAGGCTAGTGACGCTAACAGGATGCAGCGTCATTTTTTACGCATCACTACCCCATTTGAACCCCGGTACGAAAGTTCCAAATATATAATTTTGTGAACTTTTTCCACTTGGACTCCATTTAATTGAAGCTCTACATCTGGATGTGGGTTAAGACTACAGACAAAAAATTTTGTTTTGTTTGGAGTTTATTTTAATGCCAATTTCCTCTCCTACTTCGTGAAGATCAAGCCGAAGTTGAAGACCTTCAATATTTTCTGACAGAATTACTCTATCATCCGCGTATCCAAATACATTAAGAAGTTCCCCGTTGATTTTTATTGGATATCTTTCAAGTGCCTTTTTAAAGAGCTAGTCCGAGTAAACATTAAACAACCAACAGCTAGTTTTTACTTTTAAAACCAAAGAACCTCCACTTTGAATTAGACATCAATATCTACTGCTGAATCTTTGATTATGATTATGCTACGCTCAGGGCGTTTTGAAAGGTAGATCATTCCCTATTCTAAAGTAAGGTAGATCAACCTTCTGTAATATTCATTTTGGTGTGTTTTTGCTGCTTCTTTTCCATTTCTTCCTGTATTTGCTTTGAACTTTCTAGTCCTTAATATGTCCTCTTGCATCCCCTTCCATATCGTCCAGCTTGTCCTAAGACTTCCTCGATACCTGGGTGTCCATTAGTTATCATTCTCAGCGTATCTGTGTGTGGTCGGCCCAGTATGTCCCCAATTTATACTAAGCAGGGAGGCTTTATGCTTCTGACTATGCTTTCCCCCTTTAATATTTCTTCAACTTCGGGATGGTTGTTCATTTTTCTTTCTTCTTTTCTTGTTATATTCGAGTCTAGTATTGTTCTCATTATTTTTCTTTAGAATTTTAGAAGATTATCTTTTCTTTCTTTGTTAAATGTTGCTGTTCCATTCCATATGTAGCAAAGATCTTATTATTTACAAAGTTTAATAGGTTTGAAGGCCTACAATTATTATTATATTTGGATATTAGAAAATTTGTATCAACTGAGATGGCTGCTTGTCCAATCATGCTCCTTGCCTATTAAATTAGCTTACTATTCTCCTACATTCATCCCTGTTTGTTGCTCTTTATTCCAAACCATCAATTCCATCTTTTCTGAGATCTTCCTGTACCCTATCAAACTATCTTTGTCTGGGTCGTCCTTTCCTTCTTTTCGTGATTGGGCCCCGTTTTAGAATCATCTTTAACATCCTCTTCCTTTCCATTCTCATCATGTGCCCCATCCATCTCATTCCCTGTGCTTTTATGAAGCTACTGATGTTTGGTTCGTTATACAGTTATACAGTATTTGCTTTTTTTATTGTCCATACTTCACTACCATACCTTCACTGTTTTATAAATCCTTAACTTTGTTTTCCTCGATACATATTTGAATTTCATCAGTGGTTAAGCTCCTCATAGTTTTATTTCCCTTTGCCAACCTGGCATTCAGTTCCCATTCTTCCTGACTTTTCTCTTCTATAATAACCTCCAAGATAAGTAAAATTGACCAATATCTCGAAATTATATTCCCTTGCTACATTACATATGCAAGTAAACTGCCCCTCTTCTTTTTGCTCTACCGTTTATCAAGTCGATAAAAACTATTTCACCGTTCAACAAAAATTGTTCAATCCATCTATGACACTATTAATTTCATCGCATCCGAAGGAGTTCTCTTGACAATCTTCTGGATACTCGCCAAATCGAAACTCAATGAAACTGCTGACCAGGCAACAAACGTAATGCTATTATTATCAACCAATGATCTTGAATGAATCCAATTTGTAAAGATCTCAAACCTTACTTCAATTGTTCCACACTTAATGGCTGGCAAATTTAAAGATCCACAGAAGTGCATAAACTGTAATATTTAGAAGACTATAGATTGAATATATCGGGTTAACACATGGATATCTGGTGTTGTCAGAGCTCATACATTTGTGCCAATAGTATAATTGCTAGCTCACTGTTAAACTGTTCAAATATAAAATATAATCCACACAAATTCCACAAAAAAATAATTCACAATTAGATTAAGAAACTCAAGAAGCTTTAAACCATATATATTAACGTTTAAAAATTTACCTCAATTTTATAAATTTCTTTGTTCTTCTTCACCGTCTCATTTAATTGCTTTTGTAATGTGATTAGCTTTGGATCGTCTACGTTTTCGTCAGAAACTAATTTAGGTACAGTCGGACTGGGCAAAGAGGATAAAAATATTGCTGTACCAGTGGCAGTTGCAATGATTAACTTCTCGCCAACGGTTATTCTGAATTTCAAACCAAATATTGCATTCATTCCCTAAAAAACATTAAGTTCACGACGTATTGGTAATACCCCTATAAATGCTACATATACTTGTTTATGATCTATACAGTCACTTACCTTTATTTTTAATTTGTTAACTAACAACCTATGAAGCTCATATTCTAGAAAAGGTAAACCGTCTGATATTTCCTTAGCACTCCACTCGCCTTTCAAGTCTTTTAAAGGTCGACAAACGTATGATTCAATAAAACATCCCCTTCCTGTACTGGGTATGCCATCTAAAGGTTCTATTGTTGCTATTAGAACCTCAGGAACTTTGCCTTTTCTAAAAATAAACCAAATGTTAATTATTTTGATTAAAAGTATCGTACAATCAGTTGACTTTGAGTCGTACTAGTGTTTTTTTCCCAATTGAAGAAAGAGGTTTGAAACGACCAACGAAAGATTTAGGCCCCACGTTGAGGATTATTGATGGCTTCAGAAGAACCGCATGTTTAAACTGCAATGTATCTATCTATCTATCTAATTAGCCTTCTTCGGTCCATCTTTGGATATAGGCCTCACCAATTCTTGTCTATTCTTCTCTGTATGTCGCTACAGTCATCCACCTAGAGCCCAAGTGCTTCTTGATATCATCTACCAATCTCATTTGGTGCCTTCCTCTGCTTCGTTTATATTCTCACGGTCTCCAACTTATAAGAATTTTGTTCCATTTTATCTTTATTTTTGTCTTATATTGTGTCCGGCAAATCTACATTTAAATTTTGCAACTTCTTGTCTAACATCCCTCACTTTTGTTTTTTCTCTTATCCACTCGTTTCTCTTTTTATCCATTAGTCTTTCCAATGTTCTTTGGGATTTTATGATTTTGTCCATGTTTGGTTTTGTAAATGTCCACGTTTGGGAACCCTAAGTGAGAACAAGGAGTACGCATTGATTGTATACATCTTTTAAAAATATTTTCCAGAGCCTGATTGAAAAGTTTCGGTGTTATTATGTCACCCTGTCTCACGCTTCTATTTATTTGTATTGATTTTGTTCCTTCATATACTTTAATTGTTGTTTTGGCTTCCTTATATATATATTGGCTATTAGTTCCGTATATCTGTGGTCAATTCTGCTGTTAATCAAAGAACTTTTCACTGCCCAATGTTCGACACTGTCGAAAGCCTTTTCGAAATCTATGAGCTCTATATATAGAGAAATGTGGTATTCATTTGCCCGTTCTATAAGTACTTTCATACTTAGTAAATGGTCACTTGTGCTGAATTCCTTTCTAAAACCAGCTTGTTCTTTCGACTGGTACCTGTCGAATTTTGTCGTCAATCTATTGGTTAAAATTTTTGTTAGGAGTTTATACATTACATTGACAAGTGTTATAGGACGGTAGTTTTTTATATCTGCTTTTTCCCCTTTCTTGTGTAGGATAATGGTTACGGATTCCTTCCACTTGTTTGGGATTCTTTTTCATTTGAATATCTTGTTAAAAAGGGAATGTAGAGTATTAATTACCACTTTTTCACCATATTTCAGTATCTCTACAGTTAATCCATCTTTTCCAGGCGATTTGTTGTTTTTCATTTCTTTCAATGCCTTTTTTATTTCTGAGTTGCTTATTTCTGGCTGTAGCTCTGAGTTGACATTTTTTATTTTAGCCTTAAGTTGGTTTTTAATTTCTTCTGGTGGTTCCTTTTTTGTTTTATATAATTTTGAGTAGAAATGGTGGATTATATTTATGATGTCATCTTTAATGTTTGCTCTACTCCGTTTACATCTTTTATTATGTTTATCTCAAACCCACCTAATTTCGGCCTTAAGCATTTCATATTTTTGTTGTTTTTATTACTTCTTCTATTTTTATTTCTTGCTCTTCTCTCTTATTTTTTTTATAGTTCTGCTTATTGTTTTATTGATTTCTACATATTCTATATATTTCTTTTTGCGTTCTTCGTTCCGCTTCTTTCTTTTATCCATAAGCTTCTTTGTTTCTGTTGATCTATACTTGTTCTTTTTTCGATCCTTTTTTGCTATTTCTTTTCCTGATATATTCCATCGTTGCTGTAAGTATGTTGTCTATTTCGTCTATATCTTTATCATCACTGTCTAATTTTTGGGTAAGTTAGTCTTTTATTATGTCTTTGTATATCTCTTTATATTGCCCTAGTTTGTTTCTATCTACTAGATCCCAGTTTTTAATTATTTTTCTTTTCATTTCATAGATACCGTTAATACTAATTTTTGCTCTGATCATCCTGTGATCGCTACCTGTTGTGAATCTGTTAAGAACTGTTACATCTTTAATGATATATCGTTCCGTGGACAGTATGTAGTCGATCTCATTTTTTGTGGATCCATTAGAGCTGATCCATTTCCATTTTCGTTGGGGCTTCTTTTTGTAAAAGGAGCTCATTGCGTATAGATGCTTTTCTTCTAGGTAGTTCATCAAAGTAGCACCTCTATCATTTCTCCGACCATACCCGAAATCTCCTGTTTTAGTTTCTTTTTTGTTTAGTTTTCAACCCAGTTTGGCATTGAAATCTGTAAGACGATTTTTATGTTCTTCCATAGCCTTTGATATATCTTCATAAAATAGTTCAACATCTTCGTCATCATTATGCAATGTATCGTTAACAGCAAAACATATAATGGATTGAAACAATTACAATAATAAACGAACAAAATATGGTAGCTGATAGTGAACCTCCAACAAAAGGAATTCCAAACTCTTAAGTCCAATAACCTCTGTACAGATTTACACACAGATTTACAGTTTAGACACACACTTTTTTTTCAGAAATAGAGCATATGCATATATGTCATATTAATGTAAATATCGGGACTCAAACAAAATGTATGCAAGTTCGGCATTTTTTTACTAACCTGATCAATAAAATTGTGTCAAACTTTAAAAGAGGGAGAAAGTCACAAAAGTTTCAAAATAATCGCAGTTAAATTTGAGAACGAATTGTTTCTTACCTGCATATCATACATTTTCCTAAAGTTGCCTTTACTGGAATATCACTACTGTCATATGGTAAATGTGTTATTGTACATACGGAATTGCCAGTATTGGTCGAAAAATCTGGACTATCACTATGTTTATTATTACTATGGGTGTTTTCCTGTAACAGACCTAATTATTTATTAATTTTAACTAATTTGCATGATTCATACCATTTTCTGTTTATCCCTATCATATTGATTCTTTTCATAAGATAAACTACAGACATCATTTGGAGTTGCATTTGTATTCTGTTTTAATCCGGAGACATATTCATCAGTATCATCACTTTTATGAAAGTTAAGCACTACAGCTGTTCCGTATGCACTTAAAATACATATATCTTCACTGAAAATAAAATTAATTTGTATTATTAGGTAAAAAGTTAATCTTTTTATATACACTGAAGGAATTTATCCCAAATCCAACTTTAGATTGATTATAATGTTACTCGGTTACTTACCAAATACTAGAAGATTCATAATATCCCAAAACGGCGTTACAATTCAAACTTCTAGCATGTGAACGTATTTCCATTCTTATTTCCGACCACCAAGTATCTCTGGACTCAGGCTCCTCAATGTTTCGTATGGTTTCTAGTCTCTTCACAGATCGTGCACTTACAGCACCTCCTAAATGAATAAAAATCATGTTGAAATGCTGCATACAATTTATTAAGTCAACAGTAAAAATATCTAGTGAAAAGTAAAACTCAAACCCCAAGCCCCAAGTTGAGAAAGGAGGAGTGTTAGATGGTCTTCCAGTTCTTGCTTAATGCAAAAAACATCTTAACATCAAGTACAAAAAAAAAGTATTGGCTATTGGGAAGACAATCCACCCTGTCAATCTACAACAAATAACTTTTGTATAAACAGATTCTCCTCAATGGACATATGGCATCCAGCCGTGGGTTTGTACTAATACGAGTAATTTAGGCATCATCCAGGGATTCTAATACAAAGCGATAAGGACCATTGTCAATGCTCTTTGGAACTTAAAAAGACGATTGAAAAATTTGCCAAGACTCAGGACCAACAAATTCAACAGGTCAATATTCAGGCCCCCAGCTCCTTAATAACAGGGATATGGCTAGAAGACTCAAGAGGAAGAAACCTGTAAAGTTGGTTAAGTGAAAAATAGTGTATAATGCAATTGATGGTATAGCTTATTATTTGTGCAATAAATTAGCAGTAGAAGATTATTCCGAGTTTTGTCTACTATTATGATCTTTGTCTTATTCCTATTTAGCTTTAGTCCATATGTTTTGCTTTTCTCCTCCAGACATCTTATGTCTTCCATTTCTTTTTGATTTGCTGCGATTATTAAAGTGTCATCAGCATATCTCAAGCTACTGATTTTTTGACCTACTGATATTCCACCTTTCCATCCGGCTAGTACCTTTCACATAATGTGTTCGCTGTAGATATTAAACAGAGTTGGCGATATTATGCATCCCTGCGTGACACCTGCCTCTATTCTGAAATGATTGGAATGGGTATTGTTTATTTTTACTGTGCACTTATTATTTTCATATAGACTTCTTTCTAATTAGTTGAATTAAGTGGTGGGGTGTTCCCATTTCCGTTAGTATGTACCATAGCTGCTGCCATTTGACTTTATCGAAGGCCTTTGTGTAATCCACAAAGCACATAAGCATAGGAGTATTGAATTCATGAGTTTTTTCGATTAGCTGTCTGACATTAAGGATGGATAGATAGATAGATAGAACGTTTATTGACCACTTTACATAAAGTTTGAAGTCCGTATAAAAAATACAATAAAAGATATAATAATGTAAACTTAAAATTAACTTGACCATATTGGCTAAAGTTATATACATGTGTAAGTATTAGCAGAAGAATTAAAATTAAAAATTTAAGATAAAAAAGATCTCTAACCAAAAAAAAAACACACCTAAACTGTTACATAAAAAATCTTTGAAATATGGAAGTAACAAAAATGTACAAAGAATTAAGAATATTCCCGAATCGATGACTAAATAAACTAATACATAAAACTTAGTACATTTTAATAGCAATAATACAATGTGATATGTAGATAGTAAATCGACAGTATTCTGACCAAACTAGATACACGTTACAAAGGTGTATTGAGGTATTCTGTCTTTGAGTAAAAACAATATGTTAAAAAATGCTTTCTGATCCTATTTTTAAACAGTGGTGGAGACAGAATTTTTATTTCGTTAGGCAGATAGTTATACAAGTGAATATCAATTGAATTTTTTGTGCTCTTTGATAGTCTGAATCGTTGTGACCTAATTAAATCCCTAGATCTTGTTAGATGATCATGTAATTGGGAGTTTATAGTAAACTTATTTTTATTATCGTGAATTTCCAACAGTGTTGCATACATATAAAGCGAAGGTAGAGGCATAATACCCATGTTCAAAAATAATGGTTTACAATGATCCCTTAAATCCGCTCCAGCAAGTATCCTCACCACCTTCTTTTGTAATTTAAATATTCTGTCGGCATGACCAGAGTTGCCCCAAACAGCTATTCCATATTGTATATGAATATGAAACAATGAAAAGTAACACATTTTAAGGGTACTTTTAGGTACCAAATAAACCAGGTTACGCATTACAAATATTGTACTGGCGAGTTTAGAACTTAAGTTGTCTATATGGATGCCCCAATCTAAGTTGTCATCCATAAAAATCCCTAACAATTTGATGCTATATCCGAAAATGTGTCTTCGATCTGAACTGAAAAGTATATTTTAATTTTTAGTTTCTCGTTTAGTTTTAGTTTATTATGTGTAAACCAGTTTTTAATTTTAAGCACATCGTTTCCTATTTTATTATTTAAATTATATTGATTCTGGTCGGTACTAATAACGGTTGTATCATCTGCAAAACATATACACCTTAAGGGGTGGGTATAATGAAATATATCGTTGAGATATAGAAGAAAAATGTAGGTCCTAATATAGACCCTTGGGGAACTCCATGTTCAACATTGTGAAAATTGGAGTAATTATTATTTAAAAAAAACGGCCTATTTTCTATATATTAAATACGATCGCAATAAATTAAGAGCGTTTCCCCTTATGCCATATTTGTGCATTTTGTCTAAAAGTAAAGTGTGTGAGACACAATCAAAAGCCTTAGATAAAACACATAATGTTAAAGACACGAAGTGACCTCTCTCTAGGCCATCAACTACTTCCCTTACAATTTCCTGAATTGCTTGAGTAGTGCTGCATTTTTTCCTGAAACCATATTGATTACAATGAAGTATTTTGTACTTTTCTATGTACTCTATTAAACGGTTATTCAAAATACTTTCAAAAATTTTACCAAGAATGGGAATAATAGAAATGGGGCGATAATTTTCAATTTCTTCTGAAGATCCTTTTTTGAGTAGCGGTAACACTTTTGTTACTTCTAATACATCGGGAAAGATTCCTTCGATAAGGCAAAGATTATAAAGTATGACCAGTTTATCAATAATAATATCCAGAGTTTCTATCACTAATTGTTTGGTTAAGAAGTAAAAATCAGTGCATTTTGAGTTTTTCAAGCTGTATAATATATTCCTAACTTCAGTATCACTAACAGGTGTTAAGAACAAAGATGTGTTCTCTTATGCCTTTTCCTGGGACAAATCCCGCTTGTTGTTCTGATCTCTGAGGCAATAGAAAAGCTTTTAGTCTTTCATGTATTAAATGAAGTAGAACTGAATATAGGGATGAAGGAGGATGTTGTCCAGTCGGTGGGCCACTCTCCGGTTTCCCAAATCTTTTTGCAGATCATATACATAACATTTACTCCAACATCTCCAGTCTCTTTTAAAACTTCTGCGGTGATCTGGTCTGCACCAGGAGATTTTCTATTATTTAACTTTTTGATTGCTTTTTCTACCTCTGATTTTAGAATGTTTGGTTCTCTCTACAGTTAACTCGTCGTGATTTGCATTCTGGGGATCATCTGCATATAGACTTTGACAATATTTTCTCCATACCTCCACAATCCCTTTCTCGTCATTTATAATATGTTGGTTTTGATCCATTATTGTTTGTGGGATTGGTTTAAATTCCCTGGATAGATATCGGACATTGTTATATAGCTCATGGAATTCATAAGGTTTGCATGTCTCTCTAGTTCTTCGCATTTTTCATTTATGTTTATTTTTATCATCCCTACATGCTCTTTTAATTTCTCTATTTAACTTTGCTAACGTCACTATTTTAAATAATAAAAAATTTTTTTCAAAAATTTGTTTGGTTATTTTTCCAAAATTTAGAAAGGATTTCACAATTAAACTTACCTATGTGAGAAATAAAATCCGCTGGAAATTTCAAAATGGTCAGAAAGGGATACTCTAACATATCAAAATTTTCCTGATGTATTTGAGATCTAAGTACCATATTGTTTCTGATAAAAGAACTACTTGGGTGTCCTCCAGATTTTTCACTACTCGTAAGACTGTTTCCTAAGTAACAAATATTAGCACATGGTTTTAATAATCTCAAACTATCGATGAAAAATTAATTAGTATTTACAGTCGAGTTTAAAGACAAAGCAAATATTTAAGTTCAGTAAAATTTTCTACAAAACAAAATAAACTTATATGTATGGGAAAATCTAAGCACAGTGGCAGCAACATCTATATAAGCACATCTAAAATTCAGAGTTGTCGAGACATGTTAGTACAAAAAGTCCACTCTAATGTATATCTTGTTTTGGTTGGCATAATACATGAAAATATGCAAGAGTCATTTGACTATATAATAATTGAAAATTTAAATAATTAATTGTTCACAGAAACAATGATAATTAGAGGAAAATTGTTATGAAAAACTCAGGAAAATTTAGTTTCAAATCTCGAAAAACCATTAATAAAACTAACACATTAAAAACACTCTAAGTTAAACATGAATCGGTTCAGAAATAAGTTTTCACTTTAAAGCCTCACAAAAATTAAAACATATAGGAGATAATATTCAGAAATGAACCCGAAATGGTAAGGAAATTACTTTCGCACAACATTCATATGTATATAGACATACCATGTATTACAAGCAAACCTGAGGGCTTCAACCAACCGAGACGAATTTGGACCACACTCAATAGAATAAGGACGAACTGTGGCAGATGTTCCGACTCACTTTTTAGATGGGGAAAAATACAATCACCAAATTGCGACTGACTGAGAATGACATTCTGTCTCCGGCTTCTATATAACATGTAGCTTCTCCTTTTTAAAAATTTTAAAGTGTTTGTTTGTCTTTGTGTATTGTATTGTTATGTCCAAATTTACATGTATGACATTCTACTCATGTCGGATAGGCCACAACTGACGAAATGCCCCTGAAGATGATCTATTGATCGAAAGTACTTGGGCAAGATTTAATTAATCACTGTGTTCGATAGTTGCCTTGTATACTATCAAAGTTTAATCAGATATTTGTAGACTAAATCTCAAAACTAAACTTATAAAAAGGGAGGGGGTTTAATCTTAAGATAGTTGAAGTGCTAAAAGGCTAATAGCAATGGTAGACACAGCTGCCCCCAGTATGCCAGTTAATCAATTGACCAAAGATGGAATGATCAGTTATAAGGTTACTTTTTAATAAACCATTAGGTCAAGACTGCTAGTTTCATTTAACTCAAGATATATCTTACATTTTTATTCATTTTGTACAGAAAAATTCACCATTTTTCCGTACTGTTTGAAGCATAAAATCCATGCATGATTTCCGTAATTCTCAAAAAATATTTGAAAGCTTCATAAGAAACTAAATGAATTTCACAATGTATATAACAATATTATTATATTTATATAATTAATAAAGTAGTAATTGCAATATAAAATATATTGTATATATTTCAATTTTGTCTTTAAACTATAATATTCTGTAATTACTACAATGCGTTAAAATTTTCGTTTAAAAATACTTTAGCAAACACGTTGCATATTAAACATTTAAGGTAAAATAACCAAATGTAACAGGGGTTACGGGGATGCAAAGAATTAGACAATTCATACATGCATTGGATAATGCAAGTTTTCTAATCTTCAACATGTATTTCCATTGATTATTCGTAGTAATATACAATGTATACAAAGAGTAACGGAACTGGTTAATATTTCGATTCCTGATAGGTATTTGGGAACAATTTTAAACAAAAGTTGCTTCGAATCAACAACAATATTATTATCATCACTGGTGCTACAGGTAGTCTGGACCTTTCCAAGTATATTTAGCCAGTCAGGCTTATCCCAGTCAGTTTGGCCTACTTTTTCATTTACTTACCACTGGAAATGATACAAGGATTTATCTAGGAAGGTTGTTCTACTGTGGATCTTGCTAGATATGCTGCCCATATTATTACTCCTATTTTTATGTGAGAATCTCCTCCTCTATCTTTTCTCCTTCGTAAGGATGTAATTTGTTTTGACTATTTGTCCAATTATCTCTCTCGTATGGGTGTTGTCTTGCTTCAGAGAATGAGTAACCAGTCGTGTCCTTTATTTGGTCCGACCAGCATACTGGAGATCTTCCTCTGGATCTTTTACCCGCTACATTACGTTCTCTCAAGGCTCTCACACCCTTAGCAAATTTTATTGGAACATACCGACTATCACGGAGTTCTCAAAGCAAGGATAGGTCGTACTAATCAAAAGAGGCAGAAGTAGAATATTTTATGGTAAAGCCTTGTTAATCTTTTCGGTTTCAGGCGGGTCCTTTTTGACACAGTATCTTTCTAAAAGAACCTAATTCAAAAGGTTCTACCTTTTCTCACGGTTCTTAAACAAGAGTCCCGTTACTTATCTAGAACCATTCTATGTTCGGGTAACTTCCTAGAAATGGAAAAAGCCTGGTCGTTTTTTAGGCAAGTTGTCAATTTTAAGTGGGCAATATCCCAACTTTTTTTTTTGGAAGATTGTTAAATTTTGAGAGAGACAAAAATGACTCTGAACAGGACATTCTTCGAGTAAAAACGCTTGCTTATCTTACCGTTCTCTGTGCATTTTTTCTTTAAGCGTGTATACACTTAAATATGTAACATCTTAATCTAATACCATATTAGATTAAATATTGTTATAAAGTACCTTCATTTTGATTAACTTCATTGCTTGATATTAGTAAAGCATAGTAAAATCAGTGAAATAGTACAGCAGTCATCGAGATTTATTGTAAGTTATCGTAATCATATTACCTTCAATTATTTGGGAGAATAATATTGTAATCATATTACCCAATCCTGGACAAATCTGCGTCAACCATTTCTTCACCTATAGTTAAGGTTAACTACCGATTTATCAATTCAATTAAAAGAACATTTAATTTTTCCATACGAACTTTCAATCAGTTATTAAGAACTTCTATAAATAATAATTACGAACATTCAATATTCAGTAAGAACAGTTAATTAAACTAAAAACAGTGCGAGAGACATTAAACTTATAACCAAATGCGGGTTGGTTTTATTTTTATACTACAAAATTATTGTAATCATTTTGTATTTTTTGAATTTAAATTTAATTTTTTTTATTTGCTATAATTGCTATACATTTTTAAATTTGCTGTACCCGTTGTCTCGAGATAAGCCCATAAACAGCGAAAAGAGACTCCTTTAATCAGCTTTAGTTGAATTTTTTTAAATACTACCAGGCTCTCTTTTGCAATCAGGCAATTTGTGCCTGATTTTATTATATTGTATCAGTTAAGGTATTTGTTGATCATAATACTCTGGAAACAATTTAATTCCATATGTATACAACCATTTATTAATTGATGGTGCATTTTTTTTACTTGTGTTTACATTCAGCCGCCTATTTAATTGTGTTATTGAATACAGTAAAACCCCGGTTATCCGTGTGCGGATTATCCGGGCTGCGGATTATCCGTGCTACTTAACATTGAATTGGCGTTTTATCAGAAAGACTTCACCGCAAATTAATACGCCGTGGGAAAGGCGCATAATGTAATACGCATAGCGTCAGTGCTCGGGGAATCCCTGGAAACCGGTAGCTTATAATATGCCGCTGCATGTTGAGAATGTGTGAGAATAAGTTTTTATATAGTTGGAAGCTAGAAATCAGTCGCTACTCTGATTATTCTTATAACGTGTTTTTATTTTCAAAATGTCAACAAGCAGTGTTAAACGAAAGAGCACTGTTTTAACGATTGAACAAAAACTAGAGATTTTAAACAGAAGCGAAAAGGGTGAAAGTGTCACATTATTATCACGGAGCTACGAAGTTTGTACGCAAACAATAAGCGATATTAATAGAAACAAATTGAAACTATAAAATTTTATATCTCAATCTGACTCCTTTAAAAACATATCTGCACGGAGTTCGTTGAAAGGATCGACTTTCCAACAACTCGATGAAGCGTTTTCCATGTGGTTTCTGCAGAAAATATCTGAAGGCGTACCAATTTCGGGACCAAAACAGATTTCGGTAGAAATCTGTTTTTTGTTCTGTTATGTATGTTTTTATGTATTATAAAAGTTAGTTTGAACTTATGAGTTCGATTTTTTCTGTTATCTTTTTGTGATAGGTATACATGCATGTATGTACAATGTACATATGACATATTCATTAAAAAAATGTTCGGATTATCTATGCATTTCAATTATCCGTGCCACCGCCCGGTCCCGTGAAGCACGGTTAATCGGTGTTCTACTGTATATTGATTTGTTTTATCTATGAAATTCATTTCTCGACTCCTAATAAGTTTCCTGATAAAATTCTACCTCTGAATATTTGCTTATTATCATTATCAGGTTGATTAAGTTTCGTAGGTAATTAGGTGGACGGAGTCCACCTAATATATTTATTATTTGTTTATGTAGTATGTTGACAAAATGTATTAATAATTAACTGTTGATATCATTGGATTTGGTCTCAGAACCTAAATATCTTTCCTTATCTCTTTTCGTGTCTAAGGTTTCTTAATTTTCCCCTTGAGTCAAAAAAAGGTAATTGGCGCCCTTTTTGTTAATTTCTGTATCTTTTCTAATATATCTTATCCTGTCCTAACTTTACTTATTTCGTCCGTTGGACCCATTTCCGGTTCCAAAAGCTAGTTTCAAGCCCACTACTCGCTCTCCACCGACTGGTTACCAATTGGCCTCCATTGGTGACCTTTCTAGCACCATCCAAAAAGGTTCCCGAGGTTACATAATTATTTTTGTCCCATTTATTGAGACAAAAATGTTGTATTTATGGTGCGTATCTCTATTTCTTTTTGTTTTGAATTTGATGTACCGTTTCTAAGTTTCGTCTTTCTCCTACAAAATTGAGAGTCTCTTCAGTCATAAATACATGGGATACTTATGTGAGATATTACGTCTTTATCAGCAAATATCTGTTTGTTGCGGTGATTGTTTGTGAACTTTTATACCTCGTATTTGCGATTTTTGAATCTCCTCATCTCTCTGGATATTGTTTTTTTGTCGTCTTCCTGTGTATATCAATTTTCCTAGTACTAATCGGTGGTTACTTGCACATTATGCTTGTCTGCATACTCTTCTAACGATCTATCGGGGACCTTAAGATGGGCTGAAATTGTAAAGCCCGAAACAAGCAAGTTACAATAAAACCAATTCTGAGTAACACTTTTTTTTTCTATTTTTTACCTCTTACTTCAGTAGTATATACCTACTATATGTCTATTTCACTAACTCTAGCTTGTTCAATAAATATTTGGCAGCACTGTTTACCCTTTTATTTACAGGAATACCGATATTCCGTGGAAATCATAAAAAATTGACGTTGTATTGCAGTTATTTTGGTGTAATAGTGTGAATTACTGACTGACTTTTGCAGATGACTTGATTGATTAAAAAAACTTTTGTGTAAACGTATCATCAATTGAAACATTAGCAATTTACATGACTTTTTGTATACATTGTATAAATATATTAATACGCTAAAATGTCGTTTGGCTACAGCTATAATAAGAAACTTACCATGTTATAAAAATATTATATATCATGGGCAATAGCATTTTTTAGACGTCCACTATAAGAACTATCATTTGTATACTATAAGACCACGTTAAATATGGTAGTTTAAAAACCGCATCTAATCAAGTAAAAAATTATTACTTTAAAAACTTGAATCAACCTTGTACCCGGCAGTACCTAACCATTGAAGCCAAAAGACATTTTAAAATAAGTAATGCATGTCCCACATACAATAAATTGTTAAATATAATTCTATTAATAGATTAATCAAATCATTAAAAAATTCCTCGTGTACAGTATAGACATTAATAAAACATGTACATAAGATGCAACAAGTATCATACAACATCTTATACTCACTTTTTCTATTGAATCCTATCAGGAGGAAACATCAAACAAATAGTTATCACAATGTACTATCTAACAATGATACTAAATGAGCTATTTTATGTAATATTTCAAAATTGGATTAGTAATGTGAGGGACAACATCTATGCGAAATTTTAAAGACCAACCTGCTACTAATCCGCTATTGATACCTATTGTAACACAGACCCCTAAAGAGACATTACAGAGTTGTACTAACCTTTATCATTGATTATAAACCACTAACTTTATGCCTTTATCCAACATTCAAATAAAATTACCGGAGCAGTGTTGAATTTTGAATTATTAAGCTTGTCGCTCACTTATGCACTGCAACACGAAGCGCGCCGAACAGAATTTCTTCGCCTAGGATTTGCGGTTGCGATCCGTGTTCCTTCTGTTCGCTGTGCAGCGCGTTGCTTCGCACAGATACGCGCGAGTATATTTAACTACATGAAGAAAATTCATAACAACCTTTTTCTCTGCGCTTCGCTTCGCGTTGCAGTGCATAAGTGAGCGACAAGCTTTAGTTTGTTTAAATGTTTTTACAAATTGATCGGAACAATGGTTTTTAGCAGTAAACAATCTCCCAATATACTATTAAAAAAAATACTTGCGTTTATCTTTTTTCTAAACTTAGGACTGGCAAAATAAAATATTTTTCAGTTACGAAAATAAGTAGACATTTTGTTTTGTGGGTTCGTCAATGAACACTAATTACATTATTGATACACACAAAAAGAAGTAAAACTTATTTCAAATCATCGCTATTAAATATTTTTGTAAAATGTTATCAAACATATGATATTGTTCTGAAGCTATTTTCTTGTGGTATTGTAAATTATTTACTATTTAACTGGGAATAAGCCACAATTAAAGATAAAAATACGTTTATTGACGTTTCAATTTCCACTTCGGAAATCGTTCTCAAAATACAAACAGTAAATTAAACAAATTTTGTTTTTTGTTACATAGTGAAAAGTTCTTCTAATAATTTAATTTTATCTGACTCATTTATATTGACAATTCAGACATACATTATGCATTTTAAAGTAGACGACTTTAAAATGATATTGCCAATATTGTTGAGTTGCGCTCCTGGGACGACTTTACTTATAAGATAGTTCATTCGATTACATGAAATCAACTTTAACTTGAGAATATCCGTCAGAAAAAAATCATAGAATGTAATTCGTCTTTAAAAAATTTTGTCTAAAGACAAACACATGACATAATGACAGTAAAATTCTCCTGTTAGTGATTCCATAGTAAATTATGAGGAAAAAACCAGGAAAAAAACCTCATAATACTATATCGACATTGTAAGTATTTGTTCGTGAATTTAGTTTACCTTCAACAAACATCAAAATTCTGATTTTATGTGTTACGTTATTTAAAAAACATAAATGATGTATCCTCTATATAATACTGACTTACTAATACTGGTACTTTCTTATTAATAACTTCCTCTTTCAATATTGGTAACCAGATCCTACTACATTCTGCCGAGGAATTTGCGACACAATTGGCCTCATTCAGCATAATTAGAGCCGCTTCTTTGATTTTTCTTTTTTTTACCATCCGTTTCTTTTAGGACTACATTTGAATTATTCCATTGAACCTTATGTTCATTATCCCATGCGTGTTTACATATTTGACATAACTAAACCTAATCTAAACCCTAAACCTAACTGCTAACTAAAAAAACTTCTAACTGATCAAATATTATATTTTGCCAGTCTTAATTTTGAAAAAAGGTGAAGGTAAATTTTTCTAAATATTATATTATGAGGTAGTTTACTTTAAAAATAATCAGTATTTCAATCAATTGGTAAAAACATTGAAGTACACAAATTAATAATTCTAAATTCAACACTTTCTCCGATAATTTTATTTGAATGTTTAATATAGATTAGTACAACCCTGTAAATGTATCTCTGGGGGTCTGTGTTACAATAGGTATCAATATCGGATTACCAGTAGGTCGGTTTTTAAAATTTCACATAGATCTTGTCCCTCACTATACTTTATTACTATATTTTAAGCATTTATTGTAATGAATGAAGAAATTTTATTGTAATCAAGTTGAATTGTTCAGTTTTATGTGTTGTAAAATAACATTACACTTTGAATAATTTTCATTCAATTATTTAATTATTTATTGAATACTATGCCACGTAACTAGCATTTTTAAAGAATAAGAAATAAGTTTTTCTGTGATATATCACTAAACTTATATTGCTCTTTAAAAAAATATAAGAAGGCAGCCACACAATGTCAATTCGTATTCCACAATTTCATCGTTATAAGTTTATTCACTTCAAAGACAGCACTTTGTTGTCAGATTTTCTCGCAACCCTGTATATATAGTGTGTCCCAAAAATAACTTTTAGCGATAAAGAGCAACAAAGCACCTGGAGAAGAGCTGATAACAGCCGAACACTTTAAACATCTAAGTGGAAAAGCTATCGAAAAATTAGCAAACCATAGCTCTTCCAAGGAAGCACAAAGCAATTGACGATCATCCAATAGCACAATTGGGGTGTTTTTCAGACTCTTTCCAGACATACATTACCTTAACTATGCTGCTATATACAGTGTGTCAATTTTAAAACTTACAATGGGCTATATATCTCACAAAGAAAAGCTGATATCGAAAAATGCTTCAAACTGTTTCTAAGATAGTAAGGGGGAACATGACATGAAAGAGAACTCACCCCAATCAACCCCCTAGGCCCCACCCACCATTATTTATCAATTTTAATTTAAAAAACGGGAAAATACAGATATTCTTGATATAAAAAAATGATATAAATATTGTTTATGTAAAATACACTCACCGGCACGAAAAAGGGAGCACTTGCATTTTTAAAATAAAAACTTAAAAATTTTAATTCTCTTTAATCTTTTATTATAATAACGTAAACACAAACGAAACAAACTGTTTTAAGTAAGTTCAAATAAAACTTAAAAAATTTATTCCAAAAAAAATCAGAAATAAAGAATAGGGGGTGGAGGGAGGAATTATGGGCACTTTTAAAAAATTTTCTTGTGATATGTAAAGTTAATATTTTGTATGTTCAAATAATTTCTTGGTAAGTTTGATAAACAATATTACATTATTATATATGCTACTGTTGTTTGCGATACCTAAAATAAATAATTTTAGGCGAAGTAAGTCATAATACACTTAAAAAGAAACAACGTTCTAAAGTGTCCCCTTCACCCCTATTCTTTATTTCTGACTTTTTATGAATTTTTTTTTTCGGATAAGTTAAGTTTTATTAGAAATAACTTCAAACAGTATTTTTCGCTTGTTTTTTGGGTTATTATAATAATAAAAGTTTAAAGAGAATAAAATTTTTTAAGTTTTTATTTTAAAAATGCAAGTGCTCCGTTTTTCGTGCCGGTGAGTGTATAAGGAAAAAAACTTATAGACAAAAAATCAAATTGTGACCATAAATGATTGTTTAAAAAAAAACGCAAGGTAAAAATACGAGTATTTTTTCATTTATTCGTCATCTAGTAACCCCCACCTATGTCTTAAAGCTTTAGATATCTGCCAATAATTTTGCCGTGAAATCGATGATTTCTGCATAAGAAAACTGGGCTATTATATTTTTGTCGGATGCCTTTCATGAAATATTTGAGCTGTTCGTAAATAACACTGGTTCTGGAAGTCAAATATGAAAATGATTCTCTCTCTAATAAACCAAATGATAAAATTCTCTAATACACCAAAAATTATTGAATCTGACAGAACCCAGAAAACAGATATTTTCACTTGTTTTGCAAAAAGGGCAAATTAAGTTTTTATTTAAAAAAAAATCCGACGGGCACTTATAATTAAAAATAATAGTCTGGGACTATTACCATCCTGTATAATTATTGAACAATAATTATACAGAGTCATCAACAGAATCAACAAAAGCTCATTAAAAACCTAGAAACGGTTTCAAGCATTTTTCGATATCAGCTTTTCTTTGTGAGATATACAGATTGAACGAAATAAATTCGGAACATAGGAATATAATGTATTTCGGCTCAATTCTGCTGTAGCTGGTTGGCCAACAAAAGATTGTCAAATAATTATATTATAAAAAATTTCATACTTCAGCGGGCTGCTGGATTCTGAACTCATAAAAATTGAAACACATAAATCTACGATTTTATTATGCTGTCAAACCAGTTATAGTCCAGGAAATGTAGCATTTCACCTCGCAATTTTTTCGTGCGCCGTGGATTGACTTGAAATTTAACAGAAGGTAGGTAATAGCCTAAGGATCAAAATCTATATCGAACCAAAGTGCGCCAAAGCCTAGGGGGTGGTTGCCACCCCATCTCCGGGGTGAATTTTTTTTTTTACGTTTTAACTACAGGTTTCGATTAGAAAAGTGATTCTAAACAAAAATGTGCTATACATTTTTTTTATAAAATGATATTTTTCAAGTTATTCGCGATTGAAAGTAACAACTTTTAGACGAAAAAATCCACGATTTTAATCGATTTTTCGCGAATAACTCGAAAATGGTGCATTTTATCAAAAAAATTGTAGAGAACAAATTTGTAGCTTTTAAAAAGACAAATACAATTACAAATACAATATCAATGTTCAGCGGTTTTCTTCAAATGACAAATTTGAAAGATTCAAAGTCAAATATCGGGAAAATAATGCATTTTTGGAAGAAAACTCACAAAACCTTTTTTAAAGAGCATAAATAGACCTATCATAAAAAAATAAGGTCAATACCTCATTTTTTACAAAAAAAATCGAGGAAAACAACACCCTAACCACCCCCATAATTAAAATCGATCTTCACCCTTCTGCAATTCCCTTTGTAGATGTATTGTTAATACGTCCAAGAAGTTTGACCCATTAAAAATGCTTAGTTTTAGAAAAAGTACAGCTTAAAGCGAGAAACGATTTACAATTTCATATTTTTACCCTTCTTTTTTTAAATATGCCCGAAAATACTGAATATATGAAAAAAATAAAAATTACCAAATTG